TCTAATGGGCTTCTCTGAAATGGTAACCACCACCCCTGCCCAGAGGCTGCGAGATCGTGGGACTGCTCCCACTTTCAGAGTGTGCCCCCCCAGTCACGCCTCTTTTAGACAAGTTGCTACTCTACTTAAAATATTTTTTTCCTTCTGCCGAACACAGAGAAAATATAGCATTGTTTCCAAGAGAGGGAGCAGGGTCACCAGCAGGAAGGGGTGTGCAGTATTTGTACAGTTTCATGACTCAGTCCATCTGAATTTCCAAGCATTTTAAGAGAGCTTTGTCCAAAAAAAAAAAAAAAAAAGGTCTATTGTGTGGCTCTTGGCAGTGAAGAAAATAGCAGGCCTGTCAGAACTCTGTTTCAGATTTAATTTTCAAGTGGGTGATGTAAGAATGCTGTCCGACAGGAGGCCTTTGCTCCTTTTCTCATTTCTGCTCATTTTGGTGCTACAGACCTTCAGCTTTCAGAATCAGCTCATAGTAACAAACTGAAGCATCTTTCCCTTGACACTCTTTTTAATAAAAAGGCATCAAGTTCTTCAGCAAAGATTAATTTGACTTTTAAATGAATACGGCTTCCTGCAACAAAACACATTCAACTGCGTATATATTTTATATATATATGTAAATATATATATAAATAAATATATAAATTTATATATAAATATATAAATATATATTTTATATATATTTCAGAGCATCTTCTTGCATTTTTCAATATATGTGTGAAAATTCAGACCAAGAGACATTACTGATCTTCCCAAATGCCTTGTTTATTCAGTATTTACTTCTGGGTACAGATGTTATAAAAAAATAAGTAGGAAAATCTTGTTTATGAAGATGCTCTTTTCTAGCTGTTTTCTTCCCTGGATGTTGAGCAGCAAACAGTGATTTTTCTCATTACATAAATATTTTATGTAGAGCACGAATTTTCTCCTCCAGGTCTCTGTCTTCTCTTGTTAATAATGATTATGTATTATACATTTTGAAAAAAGAACCAAAGTATCCTATTCAACCCCTGGGTCTCTCTGAACTGTGAATAGATGATAAGCTTCTGGGCTGGGAAATTTTCTCCCAGTGTTGCCAAGATCTGGTTCACATTATGGAGGCAACTTTCTACTCAAACCACTCATTAGGGTCCTGCATCCAATGTCACCCATCCTCAGCAAAACAAACACTATTTCCTTCTTCTCTGTTTCCAGAACATTCCCCTAAAGCCCTGGAGAGTCAGTGCACGTAAGGGTTTTTTTTTCATAAGGGGAAATTTAGCATGGAGATCTCATATACTACATGGATGGTACCAAGCTGGGTTTAAGATAAAACCAGACTGTGGACAAGATCAGTGTCTGGAAACAGAACACGTAAAACCCACCTGGCTGTCCACTGCCCTTGGTCTGTTATTGTAAGGAAGGCCTTGCCAAAGGGAATGTCTTAGGTCATTGCTCCTTTGTGTGTAGCTAAAACATGAGGCTTCATCCTGAGAAGGCAGTTAGGCCTTCAAACCCAGACTATAGCCTTCTGTGGAACCTTGTGGAACCTTCTCGAATATGACTCATTACCACCAAAGGGTGTTTGATGAAATTCTACTCTGCACCATTTGTCTTCATTACCCAAATATTCTCTTTCTGTGGGAAGGTAAGTTATTAGGTAGAGCTTATGCAGTCTGATATGTTGATTGAGAGCTTTACTTTAAAGAATGTCAAATGTTTGTGATTCAGTCTCACAGACAGGTTAAAATCACAGTGTTAAATGTGAGGTTGTAAATTACTATCATTATCATTATTATTATTCAAGCAAGCTATGAGAAATGAACATTATCTAACAATATCCACACTTCATGGACTGTGGGGAAGAGTGAATTTGCTGGAACTGCAGAAGCCTGAATTCTCACTGCAGGGTGATTTGAATATAGTTGTGTGCCACATTACGACACTTCAGTCAACGATGGGCCATGTGTACAATGGTTGTTCTATAAGATTGTAATGGCTGTATCATATAGACTAGGTGTGTAGTGGGCTGTACCATCTAGGTCTGCGTATGCACACTCTGTAATGTTTGCACAATGATGAAATTGCCTAACAACGCACTTCTCAGAGCACATCCCTGACGTTAAGCAATGCATGACTTGTATTCTGAGCTGGAGTTTCATCTGCAGCTAATTGAATCTAAGTCTCTGGGCTGGGGCTGGGCCTTGATATTTTTTAAAAGCTCCTGAGATGTCTCTAATGTGCAGCCAAGGTTGAGATCTGTTGGAAAACATTGCATACTTTTAAATCCATCTATTTATTGAATGTTTAATGTTGATTATTATTTTTCCAGACACAGAAAAGTTGCAAGAAAAGTACAAAGCCATCCTTTACATCCTTTGCCCAGGTTCCCCAGTGTTATCATTTTACCATATTTGCTTTATTCTTTTCTCTCTTAAGATGCAGACAACATATCCTTTACTCCTAAATATTTTTATGTTTTCCTTAACAACAAGGGCATTCTCTTACATAACCAAGACAGTGATCAAAATCAGGATATTAACCTTGCTACGATACTGTTTTCTAATTTGTAGACCGTGTTCAGATTGTACCAGTTGTCCCTGTGATGTCCTTTAGAGCAAAAGGAAATCCCAGATCACATGGTATTTTCAGCTGTCATGTCTCTTTAGACTTCTTTCAACCTGGAACAGTTAGTTCCTCAGTCTTTATTTTTCACGATATTGGTATTCTTGAAGAATACAAGATGGTTATTTTATAGAATGCCCCAGAGTTTGGGTTTGTCTGATGTCTCCTCATGGTTCTGTTCTGCACTTGGGGCAGGACGATCACAGCAGTGCTGGTGTGTTCTCCTCAATGCAACGAGTCAGGAGGAGCACAGTGTTGGTTCCCGCCATGACCCTGAGTGAATGTTGTTTGTTTGGTTAAAGTGGAGCGCAGGCCTCTTTCAGGCTGCAGAGGCTGTCATCAGGCATGCTCACTCAGATTAATCGATCGTCTTACTTAGCCATTTATCTGGCAATGCTATAAGGGTCAGGATAAGCAAGTCTTAAAGCAGAAGAGGAGAAAGAAGGAAAAGCTTCCAGAATCTGGAGCTTTGGCAAGGGGGGCTGGTCTGGGGATGGCACCACCACAGTTGCTCCTGGTGTTAGGACGAAGTGGCCGAAAAGCATTCGGTCTGGAAGGGGCTGCAGGTTAGGAAGAGAGACATGGAAGACCGTCAGGCTTTGCTTACCTCTGGCATTGCTGGGACTGCACTGCCGCCTCCAGGTCCTTCATTGCTGAGCTTTAAAAATCCTCTTTTTTAATCCTTCCTCTAAAACAGAACAATTCTCTCTTTCTAAGCTCTGGCCCACCTTGCAGCTCCATCTGTCTTTTCCTTTGGGATTGATGACTTCACATTAGCCCTAGGAATAATTTCTGTCCTGGTGATGCCTTGCTTAGCACTTCTGGTAACTCAGCCTGTTTATGATCTATTGCTTATCTCCAGATCCGATGGGACTCTTTATTCTTACCATACCCCCCAGATTAAACCTATTGATCGTTTTAATAAATGATCAAAACTTGGGTTTCCCTCTGTATGTGAAGGGAGCAGTGTGTCGGCTGAGGTCGGGAAGGGGCGGTGTTTATTTCTGTCTACCCAGCATCTCAGGCCTTCATGGCCCCTGACCAGAAGTCGGGGAGGCCGGCAGATGAGCCTTTTCCCTCTCTTTATTGCAGTCGATACTCCTGCCCGTGGTTGTCTCTGACTCGTTATCAGAATGCATCATTCCCCTTTCTTTGTTTCCTCTTCTTACTTCATGTTTCCCTCGCCTGGGCTGCTGGGTGCTGCTGTGGAAACATCATGTTGTTGTGGAGATTGTGGCCACAGCAAATTCAGGCTCCCCAACCTCAGGCTGTCCCTTGCTGGTCTCTTCCTCATACCTTTGCAGAAAACCGCAGCCAGTGGAGGTAATCATAATGAAGATGAGCATTTATACAGAGCTGACGCAGGGCAGAGCAGTCGTGATGGGTTGAATGGTGTCCCCCTGGAAAAAGATATGCGGGAGTCCTACCACCAGTACCTCAGAGTGTGACCTTATTTGGAGTCAGAATCTTTACAGAGGTGATAAGGTAAAATGAGGTCATTAGGGTGGGCCTAATCCACTGTGACTGGAGTCCTTGTAAAAGGGGAAGTTTTGGACATAGAGAACACCATGTGAATATCGGACTTACGTGACCACAAGCCAAGGAACTACCAGAAGCAGGGAGGCCTGGAACTATTCTCTTTTTAGCGTCTTCAGAGAAGTGTGGCTCTGCCAAACACCTTCATCTCAGACTTCTGGCCTCCAGAAGTGTAAAACAATAAATTTCTGTTGTTCTAAACCACCCAGTTTGTGGTACCTTGTTACGGCAGCCCTAGGAATTTAATACAGCAGAGTTCTGAGCCCTTCTCGTATAATTGCTCATTTAATCTTCACCACATCCCCCCGAGATAAGTGCTGTTATTATCTTCATTTTATAGGTGCTCGTCTGCGGCACAGAGAAGTTGAGCAATTTGCTGAAGGTCACTAGAGCTAATAAAACCGTACTGTAGTCAACACCCTAATACCTGCCTCTGGCTGTCATCTTATTTCCCCCTTTCCTCCTGTCTCCCCTCCTCTCAGTCTCCTTTATGGGGCCTTCTTTGTTGTCCCATCTCTTAGGTGTCTGCCTTCCTGCGTCCCCTCCCACGCCCACAGTTCTTCGCCCAGTAGCCCCTCCCCGGGGCCTCAGCCACCACCGAGGTGCTGACATGCTGGTCTCCCTCCTCCTAGGTGGCCGGCCTCCCAGGCACCGCAGGCTCAGCCTGTCCAGAGGAGAATCACAAAGCTGCCCTTCAAGGGCGTATCTCCAAAGAGCCGATGGCACCACCATCTCTAAACCCAGCAGCCATTCCCAAGTTCTCCCTCTGCCTATGCCCCACGTCCCCACCACCTACTCGCACTGATTCTACTGCTAGATCGCCAGTTGTCTTTGCTGTCAGGACCTGCTGAAGAATTTGCAAGACCTAGTGCAGAGTGAAAATGTGGGCCCCTTGTTCAAAAATCAGAGGAAACATGCTGTTCAAGGTACTAAAAATATAAAGCTTTTTCTTCTTTTTTGTTATTTCTCTGTCTCTCAACTTATCATGATGTTTTTTATTTATTTAATGTCTTTCTAAGTAAAGAAAAGCTAACATCTTAAATCATTAACATAGATTTCACTGTTCATCTTTACATTGTGCAATACCAGTTTTAAATGCAAAAAGAAGTGCATTTAACTCAGATGTGAAATCACAGAAGTGATGCAATTTATATCTTGCATGTGTACTTTTTTCTCACTAGAACAGTGAGAACACTGCAGGACAGTAATTCAACTGTTTTTATTTCACTTTTCCATGCCTGCTCATTCTCCCACCACACTCTACCTTGGCTTACGGATGTGTGAGGAAGGAAAAAGGACTATGAGTTCCACCATCTTTCTCTCTCCTTCTGGGTCATTGGTGTAAGTGGTTGGCTAATACAGGGACACGAGTAAGGAAGGATGGGAGAGTGTTCCTGGGTTGTTCCTGTTTCTCAGGATGCCATTGCCTTCTGTTTGCATTGAAAGCAGATTCTGATTCTAAGGGACGCTATCAGCATGTCTTGCGTACTTAGCCGTAGACATATCACACTCTCTTGTGCTCGCTTTGAGACTTGCTGGACTTCTGTTCCCTGCAGACCCACCGAGAGTCTCTACTTAGGGTGACGCAAACATGCCATGGGTGTGGGGTGACAAGGACGACTGTATCTCACATCGCAGATGTCTCAGCTGCCCACATGCGTGCTCCATCGCCCCATAAGATTTCACTTACAAAACACAGGTCAAAGATACAATTACTAAGAATTTCAAGACTGACAGCAGAGCATTAAACCAAGCATGAGAACATTGGGCCCTGTGTGACTGTGCAGGCCATACATCCATGTCCTCCACTCTGATTTTGGTCCTTTCCACCCCATTCCCCTGCTCTGCTGTCTCCGTTGGAGCCTTCCTCATTTCTCCGATGAGGACTGCATCTACCCTGATTTTTTCGTGGGTCTCTCCAGTCCGTCCAGTACAAGCCTCCCCGGGATTTCTGTGCATTGCAAACCTGAGCAGCACCACTCCCTGCAGGCCAGCCTGCAGCAGCTCCCATCTACCTTCAGATTAGAGTTCAGACTCCTCGACAAGACACTGCTTTATTCTCCAGCCTTCACATCAATCTTCCACCCTGCAATCAACATCGAGAAGCTCTCTCTGAGCCATTCCACATCTTTCCCTGCTGCCTGAGGCTCATCTCCACCTGGTTACTTCCTGCACTTTCTTCAGGTGGCACCTACACCTGGAAGCCCTCCTTGCCTCTTGGGTGGGTCAGGTGCATGCTGTTTTTGCCCCTTGCCACCCTCCCTCTCCAGTGCTTCCTCTGTCACAGCATCCATCTCCTGAAGTACAATAAGCAATAGGCATGTCTTGTCCTTTAGCCAGGGCCACGTCCAGGTCTTCTGAGTGATAAATGAGATGACAAGTGAACATTTCTGCCCTCTAGTCCATTTTTGCCCATTTGCGAATCACTGGTCTGGAGCCCTCGGGATGCCAGGAGCCAAGCTATCCAAGTGCTAGAAGTAACCCCTCATAACCTCCAGTCTTTCCTGCTTCCTTTCCATGTCTATCAAGAGGGAGCAGCTGGTTCGTAAGGACCTGCTTTCCTTCCCACAGCATCGCTCGCCCACCCTGCCTGGCTTCTAAACTCAGACTTAACTTTTCTATAAATGCAGATTCTTCAATTCAGCTTTATTAATTCATGCATTGTCCCTATTTCTCTCTTCTCTCTCACCCCAATTCTCCTTTTCTTTCTGTTACATTTAAGATAACTCTGGGCATAACATTATTAATTTATTTTTTTTGGCAGCTGGTTGGTATGGGGATCTGAACCCTGGACTGTGGTGTTATTACACCACACTTTAACCAAATGAGCAACCGGCCAGCCCAGTGAGCATAACATTATAACAAACTGTAAAGACAGGGATGGTGAGCAGTGTCTCCTTTATTTGGAAGTCCTGGACTCAGGGCCAAGAGAGGAGCCCCTGCAGTCTGGGAAGAGATCAGACCGGAGTCAGAGTTCACAGGGACTCATGCCTGATCAAGGCTTCTCTAACACAGATTTTCTGTTAGGCACATCACTGTTTTCTTTCACTTAGAAACACTAGACAGCACTTCAGCACTACACTCGAGGGCCATTTTAAACAGCAAAATCACCAACAAAAAACACAAAAATGTGAAAAACATGGCACGAAATAGACCATGCTGAGGACACTTGTTTATGGTATGAGCTGAAATGAGAGCAGTGCTGAAACAAGATCTCACCTGAGACCAGGCACATCAGATGACTCAGGTTTTTTACCACTGTGCCCATGTCCAGGAAAGCCCTGCAAGTATTAATTCTGGGGTTACAAGTTAATGTGTTGTTTATGGTATGAGCTGAAATGAGAGCAGTGCTGAAACAAGATCTCACCTGAGACCAGGCACATCAGATGACTCAGGTTTTTCACCACTGTGCCCATGTCCAGGAAAGCCCTGCAAGTATTAATTCTGGGGTTACAAGTTAATGTTAGCGAGCAGGCGAATTTGCAAATACAGAATCCGTGAATAATGAGGATTGATTGTGTGCGGTTTACAGGTGCTCTTTGACTTAACAATGGGGTTACGTCCCCAGAAACCCATCTCAAATTGAAGATATTGTAGGTCAAAAGTGCATTGAATACATCTAACCCAAAACACTTGTGTAAGCCACAGTTGGGCAAAATCATCTAACACAAAACCTATTTTATAATAAATTGTTGAGCATCTCATGTAATTTATTGAATATCGAAAGTGAAAAACAGAGTAGTTGTGTGGGTACTTGAAGTGCGGTTTCTACTGAATGCAAATTGCCTTCACGCCATCGTAAAGTCGAAAAGTAGTAAGTGGAGTCACCGTAAATCTGGGATCGTCTGTACACAGTGCACTGTGAATCAGATTCACAGCATCCAGGGGATGGCCAGGAACCAAGAGCTAGTAAACAAGATTCCTGGCTGGTGGTGAATGAAGTAGATGTCCTGGGGAGTTCAGAGATGAGGGACAGAGTCACTGAGCTGTCACCCGTGGCGTGAATAAAATAAGGCAAGAGATAAGGAATATAAACATAAGATGAGGGCCGTCAGAAGGAACACTTGTCAGCAAAGGAAGGATGAGGAAGGGTGAATGAAGAGCCCACAGGAGAATTAAGAAAGCGCGGGCCCCTGAGGCCGTTCAGTGAGGCCGAGCCGGGTTGGGGGGAGCATGCCAAGGAAACAGTTAAGGAGGAATATAAAGACTGGGGCCAGGCCAGCCTAATTACTATGTGGGTGCCTGTATTTCTTTATACTTGCCGACTATCAGTCCAGCCTCCCTCTTTCTGGGAAATACAAGGGAAGAAATGTTGTGACTTCCCCTTATTCTCAGGCGAAACCAAAGAAGGGGAATCTAAATGACCTGTCCAAAGTCCACTAAGCCAATGAGGAGGCTGTAATAGGTATAGCCGGTCACCCAGCCTGCTCTCTAAGCACAGCCTTTTGGGCATGCTGTTTACATCTGTTTCAAGTTTTAGAAACTTCCAGGCACTGGTTTTGTTAACTGCTTAGGAAATAAAGCATGTTCGGTCAAGAATACGGCAAACCTGTCCTGCTCCTAAATCTAATCGTTTTCCTTCAAAATAGCTTCTGGAGGTTTAGAGTACTACTCTCCAAGCATCATCATCCCTAAAGTGGAAAAGAAAGTTTCACTATCCTGAGCAGTGAAATTACTATATAATTTTCCAATTAACTGAATAAAGTATAAAATACATGCCCCCAGGTCTTAAATTTCTACCTTGAACGTATCATACCTACTTTAATCATCCTACACATCCAAAGAGTGGGCAGAAGAGAAATGAGCCATCCAGAGTTGAAAGGCTGCTTCTTACACAACCTTTCAGGGGGTGGGTGGGGAGGCAGCACTTTGCTGCCCCCACATCTGTGTGTTGGGCTCTCTGGGTCCTTCTGGTTGGTCAGCAACCCTGAGTGTTTCTGAGAGCCTTTTGTTGTATGTGGGGGGAGAGAGCAACTAATTTGGCCAATTCCAAGCAGAAAAGATCAAGTATAGATTTCGTATCTGAGTTTTAAGTGCTGGTAAAAAGTTGCATTAAGTTATCAAATGCACTGCAATCCCAGCTTAGTCGCCAAGTGGCTCTGTAGTTTGGGGATTACTGTGCAGCTCAAAGAAAAGAGAAAGTGCTCCACTTAGATGCTTGGGGTACATGGGGATTGATCCAGTTACTTTAAACCAATCTAATCCAGATGGTGTTTGCGGAATAACTTTCGGGGGCTGGTACCTGTTCACCATACAAGGTGTTCCTTTTTATAGGATTTGAAACCTTTGGTTGAAAAGGCTCAAAGGAGCTCCTACCAGACCTGTTCGAAATAAAATAGTGACTGTGATCTAAAGACTGTAATTCAAGATCAACACAGCATATTTAGAGTAATTTTTAAAAATTGATTCATATCCTCTCTCTCTCTCTCTCTGTGTGTGTGTGTGTGTGTGTGTATATATATATATATATATATATAGCATATTACATAGAGAAATCTATAAGTGCTGGGTGTTGTTGGGTGCTTGTAAGGATTAATCAGAATCTGCTTCTCACTCATTTGCCTGTGATCTGCTCTTGCTTTCTAGTCTTCCATGCTCTCTCATTCACTGATTCATTCAAAAACCATTCATTGTCTACCTGCTATATGACTGACCCTTTCTTGGCAGTGGGGATATAGCAATAAATAAAACAAAGTCTCTTCTTACATTCAAAAGGGAAGAAACAGACAATATGTCTCTATGTAGTAAAATACAGGAGAATCAGGGGTGTCGGGGTGGGAGATGTGCTGCATTCCAGAGTGACCGGGAAAAGCCCATCTAATGAGGTTACATTTGCGCAAAGGGCCAAATGAAGGGAGGGGTTGAGGAAGAAAGCAGATATCTGGACAAAGAATGTTTCAGGCAAAGAGAATAGCCAAAGCAAAAG